ACTTCTTTGATACCTCTGAAAGCAGCTCAGTATGTGTATTTACTGTTATTTAATTTGCATGTTGTATTATCCTGGTTTTGATATGGATATGATATATTTTGAATATTAATGGTTACTTACCGTAAGTATTATTGAAACACTGTTATATAAACAGTAACACATGTGAGTTCTTGAATGTTTAGTCCTCATATTTGAACTTTGATATCTTTGAATGTTTAATGTACAACTGAAACTGAAGATTTGAGATTTGATAAGATTGAAGATATATGTTTGATGCAATATGTAGCATTTTGGCATTTAAACCTTTAATGATCCATCTGAGAATAGAGTATAATAGATATGACCTTGTTTATAGGTCAGGGTTTTGAGAGGACGGGAAGATTCTAGGACCAGGACGTGATCCTGATTGTGTCAGATGGCGAGCCAAGATCTTTGAAGAACAGACAACGACAAGGAGATACACACAGACACTCACACACATTCACACTACATTCCCATGAACATTTAATATCAGGTGCACCTGCAACAATTTTCAGTTTGAAGGGCCCCAACGGACACTCTTATTTCATTTTTGTGTGCACACGTTTTGTTTTCGGGTCATTTGGGTTATTGTTTCATAATTTTATATAAATTGAACAATTTCCTTTATTCACTGTAAAAATACAAGAGTGGCTACTGAACATTTATTCCTCTGTCTGACTCATTATTGCTGCTCAACTTATTGGCTCCTAACGAATTTGGTGTCTTCTGATTCTGGCCGTGGTCTTATTACTAGTCCAACTCTTTGTTATACTGTAATTTACTTTTATATCACTAAAGCTGGTTACATATATACATTTTTTTATATATAATTGTCACAATAAATATGAAGTATCATTCAGAAGAAAAAAAGACCACAGTAACGATGATATTTACGGCAAAGCATTCATGGATACATCTTTTATTAAACAAAATACATAAGTTTACATCGGACACCATGCTACTTAAGAGGATAATAAGGTCAATTACATCTGGCACAATTTTCCAAGCGTGGTACTACTGAGGAGACAAAGTCATGTTTACAGTTTGTGGAAAACACTTCCCTTCACATTCACACAAATAGCTGGCTTGGAAGTTGCTACAATCAAATGAATAACAGCCAAGGGTTTGTTCTTCAACCAGACAATCAGGGGAGTGTGTGAACGCAGTCCCCCACTACCAGAAATTATGCAGTCGAGATTCTCTCATTTGGGGAATTTGGGGAATTTAGCCAATGGTTAAGTCTTGCTCTGGGTGAACCACCTTCTTGATCATGGTATCTCCCCTGCCAGGTGAGTTGGAAGAGTCAGAGAGTGGGTCCCCATTCCCAGACACAGCCCCCCGGCGGACGGTGCCTACCACGTAGCATAATCCTCAGTCAGGGCTTTAAGCATCACGCCGCCTCCCATCGCTCGGCAAAGCCTGCTGTCTCTGTCTCGGAGGAACTGCACACAGCCGCACAGCTGCACAAAAGCCTACAACCTAGGCGTGCCTTGGCAGTGGAAGAATGTCTGGAGCACAGTTCTTACACAGACAATTGAAGAGAAGGAGTTCACGCAATCCATTTCAGCCCCATGTCAACGCCACGCCCACTCTTCCATGGCGGCAACACTGCCACCTTCTGGAATAAGTGCCAAAGTGACCAAAGTACCGACCATTTCCACAACCACGGTGCCTTAGAGGTAGCCACGGTGAAACGCAGCAGCCCGAGGACTGTTTCGTCTTTTCCTTCCACACGATTATCAGGGGAGAGCGCGAACGCAGTCCCCATACCAGAATTATGCAGTCGAGATTCCCACATTTGGGGAATTCGCAGGGGTCAGCCACAGCCGGAGTGCAATGGCCTAGCCTCGCCCTGGGTGAACCACCTTCTTGATCATGGTATCTCCCCTGCCAGGTAAGTATGAGTTGGAAGAGCCAGAGAGTGGGTCCCCATTCCCAGACACAGCCCCCGGCGGACGGTGCCTACCACGCATAATCCCTCAGTCAGGGGCCTTTAAGCATCAGCCCGCCTCCATCGCTCGGCAAGCCTGCTGTCTCTGTCTCGGAGGAACTGCACACAGCCGCACAGCTGCACAAAAGCCTACAACCTAGGCGTGCTTGGCAGTGGAAGAATGTCTGGAGCACACGTTCTTACACAGACAATTGAAGAGAGGAGTTCACGCAATCCATTCAGCCCCATGTCAACAGCCACGCCCACTCTTCCATGGCGGCAACACTGCCACCTTCTGGAATAAGTGCCAAAGTGACCAAAGTACCGAACATTTCCACAACCAGAGGTAGCCACGGTGAAACGCACGGCAGCCCGAGGACTGTTTCGTCTTTTCTCTTCTTCCACACGATTATCAGGGGAGAGCGCGAACGCAGTCCCCACTACCAGAAATTATGCAGTCGAGATTCCCACATTTGGGGAATTCGCAGGGGTCAGCACAGCCGGAGTGCAATGGCCTAGGCCTCGCCTGGGTGAACCACCTTCTTGATCATGGTATCTCCCCTGCCAGGTAAGTATGAGTTGGAAGAGTCAGAGAGTGGGTCCCATTCCCAGAACACAGCCCCCCGGCGGACGGTGCCTACCACGCATAATCCCTCAGTCAGGGCCTTTAAGCATCAGCCCGCTCCATCGCTCGGCAAGCCTGCTGTCTCTGTCTCGGAGGAACTGCACACAGCCGCACAGCTGCACAAAAGCCTACAACCTAGGCGTGCTTGGCAGTGGAAGAATGTCTGGAGCACAGTTCTTACACAGACAATTGAAGAGAGGAGTTCACGCAATCCATTCAGCCCCATGTCAACAGCCACGCCCACTCTTCCATGGCGGC